ATAACCATACAGGAGCCATGTCATTGGCCAGGGATTGCTGGAGTGCAACACACTTGGCAACAATCCTTATTATCCGTGACATGGCTCATGAGGAAACCGGTACTGTAACAAGCAAACTCGTACAGCTCATCTAATAATTCCCTTCTGGCTGCCACATTGTGTAAGCTCTGCATTGCCTAGGAAAACACATTGAGGTTGGATTGGGGAACTAAGTCTCTGATATTCACAATACGTGCTAGCTCTTCTATTGTACGTCAGTAACTTAGTTCTGTCACAAAGCATATTAGTAAATATGGCCTTTAAAGTTTTAAAAGGTAATAAAGCTGATAGCACAGATGCACATTCATTAGCCAATATCACACTGTCTTAGAAAATGTTCTTGGATAACCTTTTTTTTGTAATTAAAATGAAAACAAGCACAGTCTGAGCAAGAAAGAATTTAAAACTTCACACATACATTATTTTTATTCTCAAGTCCAATTACTGGAGGGTTAGAAAAAATTGAGTTGCGGCGAAATTTAAATAAATTTCAATACAGTCAGGGATGGAAAAGCATGAATAGTGTATCAAAAATTCCCTCATACAATGACATCATCCACTAAACACATGACTGTTATATGTTGTGGTCCTAAAGGAGATTAAACTAATTTTCAAACAGAAAGAATCACTTTCCCTCTCTACAAGGATTTTTTTCTATCATCTGTTTTCTCTATTATCCCAGACTGAAAATCTGTCAGTTCTTGGACAAAGAGCCAAATTTACACCTGGTGTAAACCAATGAAATTCTATACTTTTCATTATACTTATGTTGTAATATTCTTTATATAAACTCTGGTTTAAAATACACTTGTGTTTATCTGTTATATATGTAATGGTTTAATTAAATACTTCTGCAACTTCATGTAATCGCAGTTGAAGGTAATCACTGTTCAACAAAATAGACTGAAGCTCTTGATTGCACCTTTATCTACACTGGCTGAATTTGAGCCTGTAATTCTCTGCCTCTGGTGACAAAGATGGAAGTGATACAATTTATATATGGAACAACTATTGCCTGCTCTACACAGTGCAGTGTGAAAATGCCAGTACTGTTGACCACAGCCCTATTTCGGCTGCTCCACCAAAAGTAGAATCGTGTTGGTGGTGAATTACAAGGGCTATTTTTCCTAACCTAGGTAAGACCATGACAATCAGAAATATTGAAGTTGATATTTGATTAACACTGGCAGTACTCTGTAAGTGATTTCCACTCAACGATGTCTAATTATTTAACTATTTCCTGTTATTAATGGAATGAAACAATTCAAAACAAACAGCCAGGAGGCTGTTTTGCAGGAAGCTCGTAAACATCAATCCATACATGTAGAAATCTTAAAATTTTATCAAGTTGGCCTGTTGAATTTGAAAGGCATATTTTATCCCAATCAATGCATAAAGGTAAAATTATCCATAACTAAGGCATGTTTCTCTGCTGTACAGTTCAGCTGTAATGATCCCCACACACTGCACTTGCACATCAATTATGATAATCATAATCACGGTCGTTAAGCTGAATGTTCATTATTATCAGGATGCTGGTGACAGCAGATTCAATCATCGGGTGCAATGGGCAGGCAGTCACAGTCCCACCCAAGTTTCTGCAGACAGCGTTGTGCCACATTAAATCTATGATGTGTTCCACATCCCACTCCATTCCAAGAGCTGTAGACGGTAAAGGTCAACTTTATGTTCTGTGCAATATGCTTAGGTTCTCTAAATTAATTCTTTGCAGTCCTGGGTATTTTTATGCTTTGTAGATAATAAAATCCTGTTTAGGGCCAAAATGCCTGTGCAAATAATGAAACAGTGATTCAGTTGTACTGTAATTCACCTATAATAAGGCATCAGAGGGAAGAATCTATCAGAATGGAACACCTTAAAATATCACTTCCTGAACTTTATAAATAAGAAAACATTAAATGCTGTCATTAAAGTCAGTTTTCTAAAATGCATATGCAAACTAATTCCAATACTGATTAAAGACTGTAAGCTACCATTTCTGCTTCAGTAAATATGAACATATGTGAGTGTTTTGACAACCGAAAGATTATAGTTAGTGTATTTCAATCCTTGACTGCCCAGCTACATTGGAACCTATCATTGTAGTTTAAATTCATAATGATTGGTAAATTTTTTATATTGAAACATCTCACATAAATTCTATCAAAGGCACTTCCATGTATTTAGATATACAATGTAAAACCTAAAATATGCAAGCAATTTTATTTTTTACAGTGATTTACTGAGTAAACTAACTAGATTCAGTTTCATTAGAGGTATTTCCATTTCTTGTTTATTTATAATGAAGAATTAGAATAGAACAGTTTTCCCCTTAACTCAAACTTCTTTGAAATGTAAACAGAATGAGATAAAAATTTTCAGATTATAACTAGATGAAAAAAAGAACTATTAACTTTTCTTCACATAGATATGGTAATTATTATGTTTAGAGAAAGTCTATGCTAATACCCTTTCATTTTCCAGAGGAAATATAACAAGGCAATATTTTTCATTGTTGTTCATTTTGCTTCTAAAGTAATTATATAATTTACATACTAATCTTTTTGTGACTTGAATTAAAATGCATACTCAAACACATGAAAACCTCAGGAAAACACAGTTAGGATGTGCTCATGAACATACACAGGGTCGTTTTATATGTAATTTTTTAAAAAGCCACCTAGTATCAGCTAACATCAAATAATACCTCAGCAGCTCAGAGGGATCACTGATCCACTACCACTGAACTGACTCTTTGGAAGAACTTACACAGTCTTAACAGCAATAATAAGGGAACCTGGTCTAGCACAAGACTGTCAGAAGCTGAATACAGATCATGGCAGGGTTATCAGCTACACAGGCTGTAACAGAAATTGCATCCACAAAATATAACCTCATGGGAAACTCAAAGGAGGGTTCCATTCAGCAAATGGAACTCTCCTTTGTGTTAAGCAAAGTGTTAAGCAAAAATCTGCTTTTTTCTATTTTGTTACATGCCCTTTAGTCTTGTGATTCATTAGAACAGGATACTTTAGTTCATACCACTGATATATTCAAAGTTTTCATATAGTTTAGAAATAAAAAAGCAACAGAGTTCTATCAAATTTAACAGTTATGAAAGTATGACCTCACACCTGCCTATAGGTCTTTTTCCATTAAATTGCAGTAAGGAGGTGGAATTTTTGGTTTTCTTTTTGGTTTTTTCCCTGATAATAATGACCCATTAAAGTAGCAGGTAGGTCATAAATAGCTCTTTTCTCCTCTTATCTCTCTGTTTGGGTAAGCGGCTCCTAATGGAAGCTTCATATTGATTTAGAATTGGGGTTGGAAGGCTGTATGTCATGTTGGGTTAATGTATACAGCTATTCACCTCCAGAGATTTAGGTTGATATCTATCCAAGATCACAAGTAAAGTGAGTCTAGTTCTTTCAGTGAAACCCATAATTTATATATGTGTCACATGATACACAGTATAAATATCTTTACTTTTTTTTATATCATCATCTGAGCCTGATCAAGAACTGCTAAGGACTAGAAAAGGAAGTCTTTACAGGACAAGAGGAGTACCAGCAATAAGACATTTAGGTCCTTTTTATATATCACACTTATGCTGTGGGACTTCAGCCAGTCATATCTTCCACTTATTGCTTTTGAAAGACAAATTCAGATCTTTTGTTTGAACATTGACTTCTATGTGCAATGAGGTATAATTAATGCATGTTAAAATACCAAAATTTTACTCTGAGCTCATTTTTAAAGCTTCAAATTTAGAGAAATAATTCTTTATAAAAAAATATTCCTTCTGAAAATAAGATTCCTTGGAATTTGCTGGGGCTAAGCTATTTCCAGGGAAATACGTAATCATATCTTACAAAATCCCAGAATTATAGACATTGGAAGAGACCTCTTGAGATCATCCTCCTACAGCCCCCCCTAGTGAGCTAAAGCAGGTTGCCTAGGACTGTGGATATGTCCAAGAATAGAGATTCTTCAACCTCTTTGGGCAACCTGTGCCAGTGCTCTGTCACACCCACAGAAAAATAGAAAAAAAAAATTTTAAGAAGTGTTTTCTTGTGTTCAGCTGGAATTTCATGTACTTCACTTCTGTCCATTGCCTCTTGGCCAGTCACTGGACACTACTTAGTCTGAAAGAAGCTGGGCTCCCTCTTCTTCTTTCCCTCCTATCAGATGTTTATACATTTTAATAAGATCTCCTCTGAGCCTTCTCTTTCCAGACTGAAGAGTTCCAGCTGTCTCAGTCTCTCCTCCTACAAAAGATGCTGCAGTCCCCTTAACTATCTTGGCAGAGGGTGCAGCACCGAGCCACAAAGTCCATTATCTTTCTTGTACTTGGAAATTTTAATGTGATTATGATACCTAATGTAAATAAGCACAATGCAAAACACTACACAAAGTCACGTTAGAACATGTTCTGAGAAAAATTACCTCTTGCAGCACTACAAAACCAGAAATATATGAGATGCTCCTGACAAAGCAAGCAACTTAATGAGATGATCTTAAGAGAAAAACAGCTATTCACTAGTTTCAAGATTTTTTTCAAAGAATGTAAGCAGTAAAATACTTTGTTGTTTTAGTCTGGTTTTCCCATCATTTCCTGAAGCTTTATCTTGATATCCAACAGTAAATATACAATCTTTCTTAAATCATAAAAGGCAATACTAATAGAACAAAACTTAGTGAAACGTACATAACTGAAGCTGTACTTAATCAGGCACTTAAATTCTGATCTTGTAGGTAGCACAGGTGTTAAAGTTCCTCAAACTGAACTTACCAGAGAGTCAAGGAAATCTGACATCACATCAGCTCTATGTGATTTTATAACATGCTAGAAAGAATCCCATTGGAGTCTGTGATCTCTGGATCAGACTCAAATTCACCTAGTTCTAATAAAATAGCCATCTAAAAAAGTAAATAATTCTTTGATTTTTGCAGTGACTTACCTTGTCTGCTATCCACTTATTAGGATATACTTCTCTGAAATGTTTGGTTCCATAAGCTTCTCGGACATATTTGCCTGACTTACAAAGTGATGGCTCATACTTCTCATCCTCATTTTTATGATATGAAGAAAATGGCAGGAATCTGAAATTCAAGAATATTTTAAAAATCAGTTATGCTCTTCTCTAGATGCCACAGGATGGATGTAAATAATGGATAACAACGCTGCAAGAGGTGACGTGCAGACACGTTACTGCTATTTTTCACTATCTTCTTAATGTTTCCCCTTGGTATTCTGAGAGGATTACTGCAATTTCTCCTGTGGCTTCTTTCAAGTTCAATTTGGAGCGAAGAGATATAGAGCTTCAATAGGATAAAATGATGACTTTCTGTACAAAGATCTAACTTGGTTCACTTGCGTTACTAGATTATTACTTTGTCTGTATCTGCACTAACAATTGGTGTGACGTGAGGAACGATCAGGGTTCAATCTGCTGGGATCTGCATCTTGATCCCTCAAACCTTAGCAGGCAGTGCAGTCTGTGCCAGCTGTCAGTGGCAAGCACTCACCACGCACAAGGATGGATATCACTTTTGGAGAACTTTGCATCCACATGGTAAGTCATGTAGGCTCCCAACACACAACCTTAACCTGATCATTCCCTCAGGACATAAATATTTCAAGCATACCAGCAGTATAAGCATAAACCAAGGCAGACTTGCACCATAAAGAATCCTCCCTGTACCTTAAACCAGGTATGCATCTTTTGACATCTGTTAACCATATTTACCAAAATCTAGCAATTCTAAATTAGAATTTAAAATTTAGCAGAATTCTCTCATTTAGCAGAACAGAAACTTTCACATTGTCTGTCGGATATTGGCAGACCACCAAGCCAAGAATTCTCAAATTGTGTACTTTACTCTTAAGTTATAATTATGTCATAATCAGCAGTCATTCAGAGTTGGGTTCTTTCATCTTTGGTCATACTGATGATGGACTCCCTGCTTATACAGTACCAGTGAACAGTGAAGCTCCAGGTACCTGCTGGAAGAGGTTTTCAGATGGATGTCCCTAAGTGTCATGGACAACTACAAGTTTTCTGGGTAGGTTCCAGAGCAAACTGCATGAAGGAAAGTGAAAAATGTCTTATATATAAAGTATCTGCAAGATCTGCAAGACACCCTCCAAAGATGTCTTAGTGACATCTATTTTAGTTTGCAAGAGAGTCACAAGAGTGAAAAAGTAAATTTTACTATAAAGTAAAATTCTACTATAAAGTAGAATTGAGCTTATAATTGCTGGTGTTCTGAAAAAACAACATGCATTTTTTATTCTAGAAGTGCAGGAAAAAATATTATATAGTGAAATTGGAAATATATGCTTCAGAAGTTTAAAATACCAATTTAACTGCCATGACAACAGGTGTAGTTTTTCAGCTGAAAGTTTCCCCAGCCAAAAGTTTTTCAGAATCCAGAGTCCCTACCTATAAGAGTTAGGGAGTCAACCAAGTTCTTGATAAAAATGTGGATTAAAATAACTTTCTTTGTCTCTCAGCTGATACAGATTCAGAAAATTATTTATTGTGACTAATTGATTCATCAGCAACTGTTAGAGTGTTTTCCTAAATTACATTTCTTTCTTTGTAGTTCATAAAAAGAAACTATTTAGAATTTTATCAGCTGTATCAATTTATTCTATCAAGTGCCACAAACAAATATCATGTAAAGTTAGTGAAAGGAAAACACTGAGTTAGCAGACTTTTAAATAATACAAAGCTACAGTAGCATGTGTATACCCATGGGAAATGACACCCTCACATAAGACAGATTACGGTACTTGTAATGCTAATTTGCACATGGGATGGACATCACACACACACAAAAATTAATGTGGCCCCAGTGTCCCAGAGAATACATTGAAGGTGCTGTGAGCCGGCTGCTCCACTTGCAGTTTTTATCACTTCTGAATTGCATTTTAATAGTACATTTTTCTTTTGTTCAGACATGAAAGAAAATTGGCTTTCTCAGGGGATTGGATAGCTGAGAAGACAAGGCTTGCAGTTTAGGGATTTGCCCATATATGCATAGAATTTAGTTGAGCCATAGCATTCATAATTTAATATGAAAACCATGTCTGTAAAATTTACACACAAAATGGTAAAAAAAATTTGAGGAAAGTAGAAGTAAATTATTATAGTTTTCCCTACAAAATTTTCTACACAGAGGTTTTGATTTTACTGTGGATCAGTTAATCTTTGTCTTTTTGGCAACCAAATACTCAAAGTAATGTATATTCTACTATGATTCTGAACAAAAAAATACACAAATTTTAACACTTTGAGACACAAGTAACAGTATGTTCTACATTCACTTTAGCACAAAAGCATTCTTCTGCATTCTGCTGCATATCTCCTCTAAGATCATTAACTGGAATATGTGCCACACAGTCTGGAATGTGTGTCTGTGGTTGAGTAAAAAAAAAAATTAAAGGAATGAAAGGAAGAACATTGAACAATAAAAAATATTAAAATTTAAATACAAAAAATAAAAATATAATAGGGTGTAATGGTATCAAGCAGAAGCTTTTTCTTCTGTTTATAATTCTGCAGTCAGTCAGGTGGGAAGATCCTTATAGCAATAATGCTCTAACTACAAGAAAGGATCATATGCTTGTAAATTCAATGTCTGTTTAAAGTAAGTGAGACTTTTCATTACTCTACGTGAACAATTAATTAAAAAAATTTAAACAATTTTTCGTGTTAAGCAGGGTAACCAAATTAATGGGAGTCATACAAAAGTCATTATACCCCCACAACCAATAATAATAGTAAAAAGTAATAGCACTGCAAAACATTTCAATAATGGTATTATGTTCTCTAGCTCTGTGTATAAACCTGACACAGCTTTTCCCAAAATTAATGACAGTATGTGGTCTGATTGTGACAGAAGAGAGTGATGGAAGGAGAAGAAAATTAAATCCAGACAATGTTATGATATCATTATCAACTGCACAAGTTTAGATTTCAATAGTTTTCTTTCCTACAAAGGTTCACTCATTATCCCTTCATTTGAGTTTCAGCTTTTCCTTGTGATTTCGGTGAAAATTCAGAAATTCTTACAGATTTTCATTACACATGACAGAGACAGAAGTAGCAGGATCAAAGAAGAATTAAATACCACACAGATATTTTATCATGCCATAAAACATAGTCAGTATAAGCTGAGCCCTCCCAAAAGTTGATGATTCAGTGGGAGGTGAACTTTCCCTGGAGAAATAAATTTAAAAATTAAAAATTATTTTATTTTTAAATACCACAACAGCCTGAATGAGATATGCGCCAAAAAATATATTCAAAACAGAGGGAAAGAGTTGGAACCAAAAATGAAAAACTATCTCAGGTTCTACAAATTGCAGTATCACACATTCACAACCTGAGGGAGGAGGACCAGGACCAGGGCTGGCAGTGTCACTGGTAATGAAGGCCAGCTGCACTGTTGCCAGGACCACACTATATTGAACCTAATTAGCATAAAAAGATCTAGAAGCCCTCACTTAGTAGCCAGTGGAGGACCTGACAGCTGCTAGTGGTGTGTATTTAGATTTCAAAGACAGCCTTGATATTTGTGGTTAACAAAACCAAAATTTACTTTCTCTCTCCCTTCATTCATCCTATCCTGCACCTTCCTTCTACTATTAATATCATCTTTCTAATCCTTTTCCGCCCCAACATGTTAACATGCCCCCTTCCATGATTTCTCTTCCTGCATTCCTCACCTACCACTTCTTCCCTCTATTCTGTCTCTTTTATTGCAATCTCTCTTACTATTGTGACAGGAGATGGAAGAGGCCCGTTTGACGCTGAAGGCTTTCCAGCTGGATTGACAGAGATGACAGAAGCAGCAGCAGGTACTGGTTTCCAGAGTTTACAGCAACGTGAGAGGAGAGCACAGCAGCACAAACGGGGGGGAGGATTTGTCAGGTCCATCATTTACTGCTGGGCAGCAGCGTCCCAACGCTACATGGTAACTACCAGTGGGACACAGTACAGAGGCAGTAACTTTTTCTTGAATTTAAAGGGCAGCAAAAGAACAGAGTGGCCCTTCAGCGTGTTCTCTGAATCTGCCCAAGAGGCAAGATCCCAGCAGTCTAGCAGCGCAAGCATGTAATCCTGTTTCCAGAAATGCTTCAAAACATACTCAGGCTGCTGAGAAAGAACTGTCAGATCTACCGCTAGGCTCCCACACACACTACACTACCAGGGCACAGTAAGAAATATAAAACCCTGAATACTGCTTATGTAGTCTTTCAAACTTTCACATTTGTTGGTACTGTACATTTTTATAATCTAGTAGTAAAAATACCACCAAAATATTAACTCGCTGTGTGACAGTGTTGTTAAATTTTGATCTAAAGTGTTTCTACACAATAGCAATTCAATTCCTTGTTGCCTTGATTTAATTCAAATCAAACAATTTCATCTCCCTTTAAAGAACTCCACGAACAATTAGCTCCACATAAACCATGTTTCTCTACTGGGAATCTGGGAATACTTTATCTTCTTCTTTTTTTCTTTAATAAAACATGAAATTAATTTTAAGCTTTCAAATTTGGATCATACCTGAAGCAATTTTTTCATCAAATCCAACAGTGTCTATCTTTTCACTCAGGGTACAAAGAAAGAAGCATAATGGTTTTCCATAGCAAAACAATTGCAGCAAGTCAGCCATTATTTAGTTTATAATGAGTGCATATTAAAATCAAAGTGTTAGATACAAAAATAAAGACAGAACATTTTACTTAACATATCTAGTCACATTATCTTTAGTGCATTCTTTTTGCCATAAGAAACTTACTTGGGTGCATTATTACAAATACTGTTTCTGGTAATATACTAAATACATACCTTTTCAATAAACTATCAATCACTTTTATCATAACATCAGTAAATCTAAGAATCCTCTGGCTATTTTTACTTAACCCCTGTCTGTGATAATGTACAGTGGAAAATAAAACCATAGTCTAGTTCTTTTAGGAAGTAAAAGAGATCTCTTCTGCAGCAAATTCTGCAACTTCTTAATTATACACAGACTTATTATCTGCATCCCCAGTGTTATAAAGTACCAGAACTTCATTAGAAAAATTAAGATGGAAAAATGAAGGCGCTACTTTGTAAATTTCCAGTGGAAATTAGCTGGAAGAAGCAGAGGAATACTGGATCAAAAGAGGGTAATCATGCTTAACTGTGCCCTAGAGCACCCGCATGTATAATACGATTTGCACAGTAACTACCTCTCCTATTACTGCTTGTTTGGAGTATTCTGTGTTAATGGGGTTAGCTAATTTAGTATTTTAACTTAAAAAGACTCTGCTGATTAATAAATGTTGCACACTGTGCTAGTAATTAAAATAAATGGAAGAGTTACAAATAGAAGTTGAATTGTTAAGAAAACATTATCTGAAAATATATGATAATCCCTGTTTATCATAATACAATAACAGTCCGGAAAATATGCAAATTGCTGAAGTTGCAAAGCATATGAAAAACTAAGTATGATTTGAAAAAAGTTTTCAGATGTGTTGTATTTGTATGACATAAAATGTAGTAGCCATTTTCACTGCAGCTGTCAGAAATACAGTAAAAGATTTTATAACTCTAGAAATTAAAAGACTTTTTAAATTCCTAAATCTTAAAGTCACTTGTTTTTTAAATTTTCTTACCATTAATACCAGGCAGCTTATAACACTGTCGCTCTCCAAGTACAGAGCTTATTTAGGTCACTGTAAATTTCCCTGTAAATACCTTTCATGCACAGCACTGAGTAGCACAGAAGCACCTAAGCTGCTTCTAAAGGAAAGCACAGTCTTGCTGAGAGCAAGCCCATGAGGAGCTTGGTGCTGCAATATTCACCCAGCATGTGAGAGGGAGGGTGTGCAAACATTGCACTCTGCTGCACACGAGTGAACCAGCGATCAGGACTAGGTTCTGCATCTCCAGTACAGCACTGAGCACAGACATAGCCAGAAGCTGAGATGACGTGCCTCATGTCACACCAGAAGACTACAATAAATCAGGAAACCTAAGCCTTACACTATTGCTATCACCACATTGCATCTCATTCTGATGTTTGTTGACTTCATAAAGATGTTTAACAGTATACTTTGAAGCATGAGGCATATTACATGAGACAGATTTCAGCAAAGTTAATGAAAATAATTTACATTTTTGTTCTCTGGAAAATTAGGCCAGCATGCAGCTGCACGCAACTGAGTAAAGAACTTTTCATGCTTAGTGATCTAAATCTGCTGGATCCAGCAGTTGGTGTCTCAAACTAGACACTAGTTTATTAAGTGGCCATCCCGAAGGAGTACAATTGTCATTCCTATCCAAGCAGAGGGGGAAATCACTTCATTTGTATGAAAAATAGCACAATAAGGCAGCAGCAGCTTCAATTACACGAGAAAAAGGAATCATTCTTATTAGGCTAGATTACCCAGTTGCTCTTTCATTACAGAATAGCAAATTCCAGCAGTTGCTTTATGTAAGTACAGCATTCTCTCTTGGTTCCGTTTGTACTGCTTCTGCCTACCTCAAACTCTCACAGCTTTTTCAAATATTTCTGCATTTTATCAGAAGCAAGAAGTTTCTCAGAGCTTGCAACACTCATCCTATCACCCTATAAACAACCACTTTAAAGAACTCTGATAATCAGAGGCGTGTGGGAATTCTGAATGTTGTTGAAAATTGCAGATACACGGCAACAATCTCTCTGATAATACTCACTCTGGAAATATACATATAGAGGATTTAGTTTGTCATTTTATGCAAACACAAGTTTTCTCAACAAATGCCACATACTTTCGCTGCTCATTCTCTCCTTATTTTCTAAAATAGAAGAATAATCAGCATAGGAAGCACTACCAGGAAGAAATAAAGTCCCAAAGTACACAATTACATAGAAAAAGACAGAAATTTGTCAATTCATAATAGACAGTGCTGAGAAAAAACTACTGTAGAATCTGAGTAACCCTTTGCTGACTCCTCCCTTGAGACCAACATCCCACACAGCAGCTGCAGCATTACTAGTGAGCATTAGTCCTGATGATGACCTGCAACTCTGTCATCACCTTTTCAAGGTTACAGATGTGACCCTTGCATGGTTGATTGAATATGAAGCACAAACGGAATGATCGCAGCCTGAAAATGTATAATACACTATGCATTTAGTGTGCATGAAGCTGAGAATCATTGATTGTTAGGACATTGCTTCTGTGCATTAAGGATGGCATTAAATGCTTCCTTACCCATAGGGTAAATAAAGACCGCATATCATGTAAAATCTGTCAAAGTTGGAGGCTCCAAATTTAAACTGTACAAGACCAAAGCTTCACGATTCACTTATTGAAGAGTCGGTGAAGTATTTATTACAAGATCTGACCTTCTGAAACTGTTGACACAGTTTACTGGGGTAAACCTCATCAAATAAAGACTGGGCAACATAGCCATGCCTAAAAATGGAGGACATCATCCATCCTCCCTTGGAATCCATAAGTCAAAACTTATTCAGTGAAAAAAACCCACTTCAAATGAGAACATTAATTACTACCTAGTACTTGGAGTTCTTTTAAATTTCACTGGCAGAAGCCAGATATAAAAATGAAAAAAAAAAAAGCACAGATTTAAGCTGAGATGTGAAAGTTAAACTGCTTCCTCCTCACCCCAGTACATGAAAGAATACAGAAAGGAATAGAAAAAGGAAGTACACTTTTACTTGTAAGTGAACTCTGTTATGGTTTTGGTATGAAAGGAATAAAAAGTGTTATAGCTAAGTTTTGACACCAAATATTAAAAAATAACCCAAAATGCCACAAGCAAAAAACATTGCCTGGAAGTGAAAAAGTAGCCAAATCAAGAGATTTTTTTTCTTTCAAAACTATTTTTGAGTAGAATATTCATTCAAAGACACTATTAATATTAAATTGGGGAAAATTATGCTCCAATAAAAATGTAGAAGGTAAACCATATAAACACAATTGTTTCTGGCATTCTTAAGTCCCAGTCCTGAAGCTGACACTTAGCAATATGGAGCTGACAAAAAAGCATAAAACAGATCAAAGACAGCAAAGCATTTGTGCCAGTGAATCAGTGGATCACAGACTGCTCATGAGGAAAAGTGGTTCCTCTCTGTCCTGAATTCTGGTATTAAAGGGTCAAGGGATTGCCAAGAGCAGTGAATTCAAGGGAAAAGATGACAAAACGTAATTTTTTTAACTACGAAGCCAGAGAAGGTGATTTATTATGATTGGACAAAAGAGTTCCACCATGATTAAAGAAAAAAAAAATTGGAAAAATGTTGGCAATAGCTTTAAGTCTTTTGGGATAGAAGCTTTAATCTTTTGGGACGGATTATGCCTGTATTTGGGATTTTATGGAAAAGAACTGGCCTGTCTGACACTATTACAGATGCTGTGGCTTAGGAAATCAAGCTGCTTCAAAGATGATTACAGTTTTTGTATCATGTTCTAACACGTGCGACATATGTTCCCTCCCCTTCCAAGTGAGCTGTGGTACTCTACTGGGAGACAAAACAAGTCTCATTGGCATGCAACACCATTTTTTCCTCCCATAACCAGTAAGCTCCCTGAATACGAAGATTGAAACAGTATTTTTTCCTTGGCAAGGTGTATGTGGCAAAACAGAATTTGCATTTGTTTTCTTATTTCCCATTAAACGCATCTGTTGCATCACATGTTATTATTACAAGTTCTTCTACAGATTCATAGATATGGATGGCACATGTCACACAATTACAAGATAGGGTCTCTGCCCTGAGCAGTTTATAATCTAAGGACACAGAATTTAGAAGTATGTACATAGAATGTTTGCTAGTAAGCTGTCAGGTTTGACATTTCATTTTGTCAGGCATGAAAGGTTTCTGAAAGCAATGGAATAAAGAAAACATTCTCATAACAATATAAGAAAAAAAACAAAGAACTTACTCATTGTCATGTATAGGATTTCTCCATTCCTCCCTTTTTATTCCCTCTCTGGCCTTCTCCAGTGGTGAATTGATTGATTCTGCCACTCGCAAGGTTGGTTCCAAAGGCTTGTAGCGCTGCCACAATACTTCAGCGGTATCGCGGAAAGGCCCCTGAAAGGTGTAGGATAATGTAAAGTGTTTTATTGTGGGGTTACAGTTCTTTTCTTTCCGTCTTTTATTCGTGGCACATCACTGATGAAAGAGGACACAGAATGCCTGGGAAGTGTAGTGAGACTTTTCTTCCAAAATAATTAAAGCAGTTCATTTTGATAGAGACTTACAGATAACACAGAGGTTGATAACATACTCTGGAGCTCCAACGAGAGAATGAGAAACGTGCACCACAAATTTACTGAGCTACTAACAAACACTTACTATTTTAAAACAATATATTGTTAGAATTGATTAGGACAACTTAAGTTTTTCCTTAGAAAAAAATATCAGTGAAATAAAATCTGATACATGAGTATTAACCGTATCTAGATTCTGCTTAAGCAGATAGCTTACATCTTTTTCTTTCCACAGGACAAATAATATTTGACCTTAAAGAACATGCTCTTTTCAATTTAACTATAAAGCTATCTGTAAGAGAACTTAATACATTACTTAAGATATAATTCTTCTAATACAATTCAAATTAATGAATTCAGTAATACAGGTCTATAGTGCATTTTTGAAAAGTCTAATTCCACATTAATTTCATTATTCTTAAAAAAATACACATATATGTCTTTTTCCAGAGTATATTGTTTAATAACTGGTTATATCAGAATGTGGCATTTAACAACATGGATAAATAGCAGCAGGAAGTCCTCTCCTGTGCTGCTGAAGTGACATATCCTATATATCTTGCTTTAAGTATTAAGCCGTAAGAACTTACTTGGAGTATAATTAGTGCCATGTTACACTCAGGACAGTTTAGTGGCAACCCTGGATTTAGAAGTATTACTAATTAATTTTTATTTTCATCATTGTTGATCTTGCAATGAACTAGTGAAACCTTCTGAAACTATGAACAGACAAAGAATTCTAATCACAGCCTTTATTCTTAAAGATATCCTTCTTTAAATAGGTTATCACTAACAAGTCACAGCTGGAGTTACTGCAAGCACTGAGTGAAGACTGTGGGGCTAATAAAAAGAAATGATTCACGCCTCATTTATGTTCACTTATGTTTTACATTAATAGAAACCAATAATAGGAACCAGTTACCATAAAAGTCATGGACCGTAAATAACACAAATGGCAAATAAGTATCATCTAGTACTTTTCACAGCTGGACAGGAGGATTGCTATATTTGAAAGTAGTTAATGGATTTTTATTGGAACTTTACTTTTTAAAGGCACAGCACCAAGATTTTGAGATCTTTTAAAAGGTCCCAGTAAGAAAATAAGCATAATATTTACACTTCTTGCAGATATCCTCTTGCTTCTGCTTTCTAAGTTTGGGTGAAAAGATACATTCATTTAAAAAGAACACAATAAGTCTTTAAAAACAGAATGAAAAGTGTTACCTCCTGTGAGAACAGTCAATACTAGAACAGGTCACTAAATCTAGTAATAGCATTACGTAGTAATACATAATCTGACGAGCAAGTTATAAAATAAGTTTAAAATTTATTATTAAAAAGGAATGCTCTTTATTGCAAGATGTTTGCAGTAAGTGGATATATGGAGGAAAGAAGAAAGGAAAGTACTATTATCAAACAATATTAAGATAAATATGTTTGCTTTTAAATGTAGTCTTTCAGAATATTGCATCATTTCCTCACTGCAAAATATTGACTCATATGCCACCAGGGTAAGGGCCAAATCAGACATCCAAGCAAGGGTTTTTCTCCAGCTTTAATTTCTAAGACCTAATTAGGGGTTAGATGAAAACAAAACAAAACCATCAGTCCATAGTTCAAATGAAACTGCTAATGGAAGGAGGGAGGAAAGAGTGCAACTAAGCAAAGGTCTCTCAAATAAAGCTGTGTCATCACTAATGAAAGCAGGGTATATATATTAGAATACTGACATAATTCTAAACATTCCCTGCACAATTATCCATTTCTCTGATTCATCTCTTTGAAGAAACTTACCTAGCAATAGGCACCCAAGCAATGTATCTTAAATGACAAGACCTCTAAAAAATCCATTTATCTATTTTCATTTTACAAGATTAACTTCAAGATTTGTGGAAACTGCAGTAGAATGGTGCTTAAAAATGTTTTCAAATTGACAATGCTTGCAAGCATTTCAGGCATCCCACTTCAAAATGGAAATTTTCCTGAGGAGGTCAGGCTAGGAAAGGAAGGGAAGGAGGCAACCAACAGTCTGCACCCTGAAAGCAACTCACACAGCTCTATTTGGAATTTGTAGTGAGTAGCATAAATCTTCTTAATAGCAACTGGTCTGCCAAATAAAGGTTAGCAGATCAGCATTCTTACTACTTTACCATAAAATCAGGAACTCATGATAAAAAATATGATCATCATGAAATTATGCATTCTTCATTGTTCTCCATTCCAGAACACCTAATAGCATACAAAAAATCTCCTAAAAATGGTAATGTGCTTTTTGTTATTAATGCTATTTAATGAATACATGACTAATTTCAGCATTATCAGTGTTTCCATGAAACTGTAATTCTAGTGAACTCAGTAATAAAAATGATAGATCTAACCGATGTACAAGCATCATTAAAACTTTTCTTTTAAATGCACTATCTTATACACACAGAGCTTACCTATAAAATGCTACATATCCATTTCCCTAAGAGAAAACTGGAAGATAGCTTGTTTTTTTTTCTTTTAAACGTATACAATTGACATCCTCATAAAAAATATCCAAACATACAAGCAATAAAAATTTTAGATACCTCAAAGAAAGTAACTAGTGACTCAGAGTGAGCCAGATCGATATTAGAAAAAGAAGCTTGGAGCCAAAAAGTGTTACCACAGAGAACTAGGACACAAGTATATCTAGTAATTAAATTTCTTGTTGTCACACCAGACAACTTTCAGGATGGTGTGTTCTGATGGGTTTTCGTTTCCAGCTGTTTCATCAGCTCAAACCAGTGTCCTTTTCTTAGACATACAACCCTAAATTGTCAAAGTGTTGTGCAGGGATTTAGCCGTGTGACTCCCATTAACATCAATAAGAGTCGCGCAGCTAAATCCACGCGCTGTGCTTTGAAAATTTACCCCACAGTGTACATCCCAGGGTGCTGAAAGGATTAAAGTATTATATAGTAAATTCCCTCTTTGAGGTGCAGAAAATAAACAGAACTCTTCTGGTTTGTTCTAAAAGGCTATCTGTGCAAGACTGCTGTGCGTGTGTCTGAACTTAGAAAGGTCTGTAAAATATTCCAAATCCAAACAGAAGCTTGTAAGATACTTTGTACACAGTAAAGCGGTTTTGCAAGAGCACCTTAACAATGGAAAACTCTCGAATTACTTAATTATCTAAAAGCATGATTCCTGTACCATGCCCACTAAGCAAAATCTTTCCCTCTGTCCTGAGAGACAATGCATTCAGTCATGTCCTGCTCAAGGACTTCACAGCCCCTTTGGTCCCAGAAGGTAAAGCTGTAATGTCATATTTATCTCAGCTCCAAACTCCCTGATCACCCGAACTGCTTAGTGGCTCACACTTTGTCTCGATTTTGAAATGAGTCAACAAGTTCATTCTATGAAGAAGCTCAAGCAGTCAAGGTAGGGAGAACATAAGGAGGGAAGGACAAAGGTGGAGAACTGCTCTGAAGTTGATTCTTACAGTTATAAGCAGTGTGGATCTCTGTGCAGCTCACCTCTACTTCTCCAGAGGTATTCTCACAGGCCTGCAACTTCTTAGAATCACAGAATCATAAAAGTTGGAAAAGACCTCCAAGATGATTGAGTCCAACCTTTGACTGAACACCACCTTAGCAACTTAACCATAACACTAAGTGCCACATCCACTCATTTCTTGAGCACTTCCAGGGATGGTGACTCCATCACCTCCTTGGGCAGCCCACTCCAATGCCTGACCACCCTTTCAGTGAAAAAACTCTTCCTGATGTCCCACCTGAACCTCCCCTGGTGCTGTTTGAGGCTATGTCCTCTTGTCTTGATGCTACTTGCCTGAGGAGCATAAAGGTTTCAAAAGTTTGTCTGCTGTGTATATTGGGCACATTCCCAGCAGGTTTTGATTATAAGGCGACAAAAGCTGTTTTGCCAACTTGTGAGACGTTCACTTTGATGCATTATCTCTGAGATGTCCATTACTTTATAGAACAGGGAAAAAAAGCTATCTGCAACACATGCTGACATCAACAGAAATTAAAATTGAGACCATGACAGTTAAGAATGCAAGCTGGGCAACTTGGCTGTGATGGAGAACAAAATGTAGAAATTTTTGTAATTAAAGCTGACACACACAGTGGACAAAAAGAGTAGAAACTATTTTGAACTGAGAGCACCTCTTTTAGTCTTCTTATGGGAAACAACTGCAAATTGAGGAAAAATTTATTACAAGTGGTTAATTTGTCCTATTATCTTTCACTTCTCCTATTTTTAATGACTTAAAATTGGAAATTATGATTTCTAACTCTAATGAATCATAAAATTGATACTCAATTATATGAAGTTGTACCTTTGAAATATCAGAAATTACACTTTTTTCCCCAAAGGACAAAAGCAACACCTAAGGAATCACATTTCCCTGTTTTTAAATATCACCTAGATTTCTTTAAGTCAAATCTCTGTTCAAAGACTTTTTATCCTAAATGCAAGCACTAGATATACATAACCAAAAAAATCCCAAAAAACAACAAATCCACAAAAGGGATTTTTGGACCTGACGATTTAACTTGAGATAATCTATGATAAAAGATATGAACAAAAGCTGCCTCAGAGACACTGAAAAATGTTACCTGAGGTTTCTGTCTGCCAATAGGTGGCAGAGGCAGTGCTGTGACGAAAGCTGGGGGCTTCTTACAAGTTGGCCAGTCATAGAGCTCATAGGCAAAGGGACTCTTCACTTGCTTCCTTCTGTGGCTCAGTGGCTTTGAATTCCGTAGCAGCAGTTCCATTGGGTCTGGGGATTTTCTGAATGGCGAATTGTAGATGCCTGCAATCTGAGCAGAAGATGGGGTTACCTTTGATTTCAACTTATTTAGATTCTAATGCACAATAGGAACAAAAATAGACAGTGCCAGCTGCAGCATTTTTAAAAGCAAAACAGTCATTAGTTAAGGAGAAATAGAAGAAAATTTGTGGAATACCAAAACTCAATATTCACTTTTTTCCCCAACAAAATGTCCACAATAAAGTCTTATAACTATTCAAATGTGTTTAGTTTTAATAGCATAAAACTTGTAAAACCCCAAAATTTAGCACAAGAATTTCTGAATTGTGAATTAAATTGAAAGATTCATTCTTCATTGAATTTGATATTTCATTTTTTTCAGGATACATCATTAATTGAATCACTACTGTGATCTAATATAACAATGACTAATACAAAGCACACATTTCAAATTCTGTTCTAGTAATACACATAATTAACAATCTGTGAATATCTGGCAAATCAAAATTATGTGACAGACTGTTCCCAAATCATTCCTATAAATGTAGGCATTTTATCAGTTGTATATAAACAATTCCCAAATAGACATATGTGAGTTTACTGAATTAATTATGAACTGTTAAACATGAGAATTCCTATTCCATATTGTACAAAGCCACTAAATCTTCTATAAAACAGATAACATATGCTTAAAATACACCTGGCAAAAATTAATTTAAAGATATGAGTTGCTTTAAGGATAATTATATTTTCTACAACAGTATACTCAGAGTATTCTTAAGACTTTTAAAGTAGATTTTCTCAGTTAAAATATATTATCCTTTGCTTTTATCCTAATTCTAATTGCTAAGAAATATTGAATAAAAATAGAGAAATCAGTTTCATGATGCAGGAAATGTTAAGGAAAAGAGTAAATGTTTAAAATCTTGTATTGCTCCTTTGGAATGCTACAGAGGACCCATGAGAAAACTATTTAGGGCGTTAGCCTCCTCATAAAGTATTAATCTCTTGAGGCTGAGAGGACTGAACACTTCCCAATTAGCTCTAATGCATTTTTCATTAATATATCCTACTGGGAAGTTCCAGTTTCTTGTGTCAAAACAGTTAAATACAGCATATATAAAATAATGCACTAGAATATTCAGAGATGGTAGTTTATCCAAAATACTGTTGGGCTATTCAAAGTTTTATGGGCTATATTCTTCAACTCTGTGAGTGATCTGGCTCTAATGATGATTTATTTTGGTCCTCTGTTGTATGTTCCCCTCTTAGTGCAAACCCTATAAACTATTATACTAATGGTCTAAATATATAATAGGAAAGAGGACATGAATAGAGATAAGTGGTAGAAACATATATGTATGTATGCCAAGCAACCACTGGTTGTTCATTCAGCTCTTCAGGATGCCAGACGAAAATGGCAGGGATCCATGCTTCAAACAGCAGGCAAGCAGAATCACTGGAGTGAATGTGAAATCACAGGTCCATATGTGTGATCTGTAAGGTCCAGCTGCATCTTAATCTTTGGTTCTGCAAGTCTGGCTCTTACTCATAAACATCCCATAAAGTTACAGATCGTCCTAGTGCTGTTAGTATTTTTTCAGTGTTTCATACACAATCAAATTGCAATTTTCTTATCACCCCAGTACTGGGTTTTGCTTGTGAATACTTAGTGATCTGTAAGTGCTACATAAATACAAGTTCCATATGTTGTCTTGACTTTATTCCACTGTCCTACAATTATTGAATGCATTTACACTATATACATGTTGCACAAGTTCTCTCAAATATAAAATGCCACAGTCAATGCAAGCTCCATACAAATAGAGTATGTATTAGATTCACACAAACTAGATTCCATGCTGAAGTTACACAAACCATCTTTATGCCACGGCCATTATATCCCTTCACTCATTAGTCCCACCATGGCCATTGGATCTGCCTACATTCTAATAATGTCACTGAAAATGTAAACATTATCCAGAAGAAAAACATCTTGTACATAACTGAGAATCAGGGTGATCTGTAACAAACCACTATGGCATGGTAATGACTCTCTGGAGTTGGAAGGTGTGGATTTGTTGATCAGTAGCAAATCCTGACCAGGGCTGAATCTGTCCAAAATTTCCATGCCTTTTTAAGCTGACGAGCAAATTGGGGAGGAAATCTTTTCATTCTTTTTAACCAAAAAAATGCTAGATTATTTCAATCTACATAGCTCAGGTTTAATTTTTGGTTTTGTTTCTCCAAAGTGGAAAAATACAACATCTTAAATAATTTAAATGTTTTTCCTCTGAAGAATTACATGCAATAACTTTAAATTGATGCACTGTCTGGGCCTCAGGAAATGGTGTTGCTTCTTTTAGTCACACTGAGAGTTAGTATATGTCTTCATGAGTATAGTGGCTTTCTGAAACTGCATTTTGCAATCTATATTGAGATACTGTGTATATTCTACTTTGTGTTCCTCTGATTAAATGTTTGGTAGTAATAAAAAGCTATAGTTCATAAAAGGTTCAAACACTGTGAAGTGCTACTGAATACCTCAAGATGCAGTAATAGGATTGGCTTTTAGCACTTTTAATGAAACCAAAATTAGCTATAATAGATGTCGAAATCCATTGATTCAGTGACTTTTGACTTCTTATTGCTGAAAAGGTGTCTTAACAAAGAGTCATCTTTTGTTGCTCTTTTTTTACCTACTCTCAGATTAAATACATACAGATAGTATATCAACTATGAAAATGAATTTGGAGTTTTCAGAGGTCAGCTGGAAACTTTCTTGCTTCTTCTACAGTTGCAACTGTAAGATATGGGTCAAAATTGATTATGAAGCACATCTTTAAACAATAATTTTTCAAGCAATCCTTGTTAATTATTTTACATTTCAATTTTATATGTTTAAGTATTCAACAAGACAGCAGAGCAATCAGCAGAATTAGTATCTAGGCAGATAAAATTAATACTAATTTACTCTAAATTCCCCAAGGTTTGTGGTAAGGGTAGGCCTAAATATAAAATTCGCAAAGTTTGGTAGGAGAGACAAGAGGAGGAGTTGGATTCTACTTTCCAGTTCATGTTGACCTCTGGAAAAATTGCTTCCACTAAAATATCTCTGCAAATCTTAATCTTAATTTTGGAATTTCTTGCACATGTGCAGTGTGGTGATGAATGTCCTATTTACTCTATCCTCTGCAGGGAGCTGGCAGTCTGCAGAAATCTAAGAATCTGGAGGATCAAAGCCTTTGGTACTTAATACATTTGCATATCTTCTTGAGACAAGTGCAATGTATGAAAAGCATTACTTAATTTTTTCCCTACTTTAATACAATATTCTCTCAACTACAAAACCATTGCACTTAATACTGCTTTTTCAATGGTAGAAAAGTATCTGTCTTGAGATATTACCTCAAACTACGATTTCAATATTTTTCCCACCTTTAGTTCATAAGAAAATATGTAACCCTCCAAAATATTATCACAGATTACAAAAAGTACCTCTTGTCTCAGGGAGAATGACATTTTTCTGTACCATGCTCTTCAACACTCAGGACTCTGTCAAAGCCAGCTTTTGGGATTTCATTTCCAGGAATAATTTTCTAAAGTGACAAACACTATGGGGAAATCTGTGCTAACTGTTAGAAAACTTACAAGTGAGTTATTTGCAATACTGTCATGCTAACTTCCACCTCAATGAGACCAAAGAAATCTCAGGAGGGGACTCTGCTAATAGCTTCTTACTGACCTCCTTGCATCAGGCCCTTCTGGTGAATGTTGGCCCAGTGGTGAATATGGCAAATGAGGTGTGAAAGCACAGATATATTTTTTTTTAAGACTATGTTTCTGACTCGTCAGGGAAAATAAAAAAAAAAAAAAAAGAGAGAGAGAGAAATGAGTTATACAATGGATATATTTTCCCCTAGAATTCTCTGCCTCAGACCTTCCATCATGGAAACCCAAGCATGACCTGGAATATTAATTGTGTCAGGTCAAGCATACTGGCAAATGTACCATTTGTTACCCAGTCATCCTTAGCATTACATTAATATTTTGAATCATTTTGCATTTCTAACACTCTATCATTTAGTTTCCTCCCAATCATTTTCTTATCTTTATAATCAATGGTCACACATAAAGAAAGAAAAAAATCATAAGAAAACAAATATTATTTTAATGAACATTAGCAAAGAAAATATTTGAGCGTTTTTTATAGTCTGCATTGCTTCCAGTTCTAATCCTGTATTTACTCCACGGTACAGAATATCCACTTTTGTCTTTTCATGTTTATCATTTCAATACAGAGAGAAAGACTTAACTGTCTTTCTGTCTAAATTAATTTTATTTTCCAGAATACAAGAAAGAAATTATTATGGAGTTGCCTTGAAAGCTAAACTATAAAGTTAGGCAGCAGCAAAAGAAATAGAAAGAACGAAGGAAGAAAGGAAAAAAGGTGCAGGCAGAAAGGGAAAGACAAGGATGTGTTGTTTACCCTGGACAGTTTCTCAGAAAAGGTAGGTGACCCCAAATGGTATGATAAAACCTGAATAGTTTAGATTCTGCAATTTTATTTATGACTTAGTTACTTCTTATTCTTCTTTCTTACTTCTTGACTGAGCTTTCAAAGTCTACATAAAAAAATCACAAAAAAAATATGTTCTAAGATACAGCATAGCTACTATGCTGCAAATAATTACACACATGCAAAATTAAAAATTGATGAAGTTGAGCTGAAGATAAATTGTAAGCGTTAAGTCAATAGAAAGTGTATTCTCATACGTTTAAATATTTTACTGTAATTTAACTAAACAATAATAAAGATATGCTCTATTTTAATTACTTTTTCATATCAACTCTGAAAGAAGGAAATAACCAACATATATCACGAATACAAATGTTTCATGTAACAGTCATTTACTCTCGAAAAAAACAGCTTTGAGGTAGGAAGCCTGTGAAAGTGATTGTCACAGTAAGAACCTAAATAAAGTCCCAGTTTCTCACTCTGGTCTTTTAATGAGGAGTTAAATGAGAAGGAAAAGACTTCAACAAAAT